CGCATGCCTTCACTTGCTCCTCAATGTTACAGAAGTTTTCCAGTTACACTATATCATTTGCATGTAGCATTTTTTTCTCTGGTCCACAACCCATAACAAAACTCCAAAGTATTTTTGGTTACTGTGTAGAACCACTGGTCTAAATAAGAGGAAACTCTGAAAATGGTCAGAGGTGATTCTATTTGTACATGTGTGTTTGTTCACGCAGTGTTTTTTTACTGTTACTTGTTATGGTCAATAAAGCTTTTTATCATAAAATTACATACAGCAATCATAGTTTTGGCTATAGAAAGACCGTTTGAAAGCTATCCGGCTATGCTTCTTTCATCGCCAATACTTTGTTGAGCCATGGGTTAATGGGATTGAGTGTTATCAGTATGTTTCCCCAAGATGAATGTCTCCTCTAATGAGTCTTGCAAAACCCATCAAACACTTTCAGCCGGTGTTTTTGACAGCAGGTCATGGGAGCCGTTAGGGTGGTGTCTTATTAGTAAACACAGACAGTAATGGTCCTTGACTTTGACTTTGCTGAGTATGCTAAATTAGGGTGTTTTTACAGCAAAGAAAAAAGACAAAAAAGACAGACTGTTGCTTTGGGGCTTCATCTAATGCAGGTCGTATTGAATACAAATTGACCACGGTAACCACGGTAAGCATAATTTGGGAGTAGTCCATCAGAAAAGTGCCCTGTCAGTAGAAAGAATAGGCTCAGTATTTATGAAGCACTGCAGGTGTAGGTACCCTAATGATTCCATCAGCAAGCGAGAAATAAGGAAGGAAGTGTTGTGTCAGAAAAGTGCAATTAGGTTACCTCACTCTCATCGTTAACTTTTTAAAAAGGGAGGTCTTTAAAGGTGCACTAGGTAAGATTATTATCAAAAACATAGAAAAACTGCAGAGATTCCGCAGTCAATAAGGAAGAGCAACAAACAAAGCCTGTACCACGACTATTGCATTAGCTAGACATATATACTGTGCAAAGGATAGCCTTTTACTATAGAACACATGAAGACATGTTACACTCAATTAGATCTGTCTAGTAACATGCAAGATACGGTCACACTTTATTTTAAGGTGTCCTTGTTCCAGTGTAATTATACATTTAAGTACTGAGTAATATTATATGTACTTACTATATGGTTAGGGTTAGGATTAGGGTTTGGCTTAGGGTGACTTGTATGTAATTATGCATAATTTATTGTTATTATAATACTAAGTATATGTAACATGTAACACTTATTAGTAAGAACAAATCTTCTTTTGTTTACATGTAAACCCTAGCCCAATTGCAAATGGCTTTTGCATCAATTTTTATCTTTTCTACAAATCCAGTCGTGCGAGAGGCTACTCGTAAATTAAAGTAGTTAAGTTACATTCAAGCTACCCTTCTGAAAAAGTAGCTAGCTACACTACAAGTTACTATCAAAAAGTAGCTAGCTACATTGAAACTACTTTTAAAAAATTTTAATTATTAATATTATTATTATTATTTTACAATTAACATTACAAATAACTGAATAATTGTTAATAGAACAATAATAATGACGTTATAAGTAAAATATTTGGGGTTTAAAACATATTGTAATGCAATCATGATTGCATGATAATTTCATGTAGGCTGAATTCAGGTTGATTGGGACACATTTTCAAGTCATTTCAATTACAAAAAGTGTCCCAATCATTTAAATTTGTTAAACTATCCGATACACACAATAATAAAATATAGTTATATTAAATCGAACTGACTTTCAAAGTGCAAAATTGCTACAAACGTAACATCAATGCAAGAACAAAATATATGCAACTTAACCTTGATATGGAGGAGTCGTAAAATAAGCAGGTTAAACTCACAGCACACGCGGTATTTACTGACTGTGAATGGAGCCGCTCTGAGACGTCAATCATCAGCCGCGCTTATGCGTGGAATCCCGCCGCAACCATCCTTTGCCAAATGCTAAGCATAATTCTATATTGCGATTTTATTTTCTGTTCGATTAGTGTTCACTACAAAACTGTGGAGGGACAGATTATATTATGACGGTTCATCATTGTAAAATAGACATTTGATATAGAGTGCAATAAAGCAGGAAAATTAATCAGTTTGAAAAGGCTGTTAATTACCTCCTGTATGTGCTTTAAATCTTTGACCGCATTTTAATCTTTATTTTGCATAAATTACAGTTGATTCATGTGAAATATTCACTCCTGTACATCCTTTGCAAAATCGTCAATCTTTTGTTGATGGACAGACTGTAAAGCCGCGAGATGCGTGATATCACAACAGATGGCGGTAATGAACAAATTTAGTTTGTGATTGAGTCAGAAAAAGACGCTGCACTGCTTCAATGCCTTACAGGCTCGTGACTCGTCAGAACGCAAAATGTAAAAAAAAATGTAGCGTTTGGTTGCGCTACACTGCTACTTGCTGGAAACCGTAGTTCGCTACTGGAAAAGCTACACTGTTTTAAAGAGCTACCGTCACGCTACTAAAAAATGTAGTTACGTTAGTAGCGTCGCTACTTGTAGCTAGCTACTACCCAACACTGGCTTCACTGTAGCATGAAAAATAATCCTCGACAAGGAGGTATGAATTATTCTCAACAGGGAGGTTTGAATTATGCAAGGATAGTCCTGGCCACCAGACAAACTGACAGGCCCAATTTCTGGACTTGACAATACTTTGGTGTCCTTTGCGTATACTATTGAGGATCTCTTGCCTCATGCATGGGGAAACACAATTCTTTGGGCCCTGAGGAGCAGGTCTCCAGCAATGGGCAGGTTTTCTGTTTCAGGCCAGTATAATTCTGGATGAGTTTAGCACAGATGGAGTTTGCCTTCTGATTCTTTTATCACATTCAGCCTTGCTTCTGTAGCTGGATAGCTTCACATTACAGCATCCACAAACACTTTAACATACTCTCATTACCCTTTTCTGCTTCTGTGAATATGTGCTTCACACGAGCTCTTGATATTGTGTCTGAATTACGTACCCAGTACTGCCAGTACTGAGAATCGAACCCGCAGCCTTCAAGTCTAACTCTCTAACCATTAGGCGACAACTGACAATGGAGTTTGCCAGAAACCTGAGGTTGCATCCAGTTTTGTGAATACCTTGGCTTTTGCAAATATTGTGAATGCTTGTTCTACAGCTAGGAGGATATGTCTTTCTTGTCACACCCGCTTATTTAGATGAGTCAAATCAATGCACAGCTGGATCTGGTCTTGGGTCTTGGGCTCTACAACCATGTTGATACACCACAGGGTGGGTTGAGTCAACATTGGAAATCACCCCCATGTCCTCCATGCATTTCAGCTACAATCACACCTCGGTGTTTGGATGTCCTCCTGTTGTGTTTCTGTGTGGAATGCGTTGTATCAGTGTGAGGAGACCTAATAGTGGCATAGTCCTGCAACTTAGTCCTGTGTTATTCTGTATGCTTAATTGACCTTTAAATTGTCCTTTTACATCCATTCTATGATTCCCTGGCGCAAAACAGCCTGTCAGCTGAAGAGCCCTGTGATTTATGGTGGAAAAGCTGCTGCTTGGAATTGACCTATCGGTAAGCCCCTCCCCTCGAACGCAGATGGGCCAATGGCAGTCGAGTATCATTTGCTCGGGGAGCGGAACTCGGACATCTTTAGGTTTCAGCGCCATAGAGAAGCATTGGAAGATCCGAAGCTTGCATCGATTTGATGATGTTTATGCTACAAAACTTGAAAAAAACGATGTACCTGGGGTACTTGTAACACTGATTCCTGGTATCCTGAGAGGATGGGCAATATAATTTATTTTATTACATTTCCTAAACCCAAACAAAACAGAGCAAAAGTGTCCTTAAGCATTCAACCCCAATCATAATGAAGACGAAAATGTTCATTTTCTGGTTGCCATACTCTCATTAAGTTACAATTCTCATCTGCTCAAGCAGAACGTTAATGTCATCTTGTGCTTCAGCAAGGGATCTCTGTATAAAGTTAAAGTGAGTCAATGCTAACATAAAAGCATAAATAGCGAACTGTTCTCACATCATGTACAGTGTAGGTCAAAAACACATAAACGAAGGTCTACATTTCAGTGCCTCTCCATATTAAACTGGTTAAATGTAAATTAATGTAATTTTACTCTGTGGTACATGAACAGTGTTGATCCGGGATGTTGTCATTGCGATAACAACCGCAACATGCATGACACGTATGTTTACATATTTATTTTGAAATATTTTATATATGCCTCCATGGCATATTTAAGTCCCACTTGAATGATAGTCCTTCTGTGTCGAAAATGTATCAAAAACATCTTGGGACAAGGTTTTCACACTGACAACTGTTATTGTAAGACAGTAGCAACTCCGTTTGTTTGTCCGAGTGAGCAACAGTAACTAAGGGGGGCGGGGCTTACCTGTTGTAGCAATAAGCTTCTATAGTCTTTCAGACAAAGAATTGACTCGGGTCTTCGTTCAAATTTCAACCGTTTACTGAATGTTCTCGTACAATGAACAACAACAACAAAAAACTCCGGTCAAAAAACTGTGTTGCTCCGTCTTTCTTTCTTTCTTAAAGGGAGCGCCCTTCCTTAAAGGTGCTTAAAGGCAGTTCAATAATAAACAGAGCAAACCATTACAGAATAAACATGGGGGGTGTTTAACTATGTTAATTTTAATTATTTAAATGATGGCTCTTACATTACCGATGGGTCAATTGCTGTAACAGCAGCCCCTGTGTCCGACAGTCTTTCCACGTTCAGTCAAAGGTTCCCTACCAGTCAAACATTTGGGCACACTTGACTGAATTTGTTTCTTGTGATCTTAAAATCCCTTTGATTTAAAGGAAACATGGTGACTCAGTAGTGTTGTTCACCTTGGTTAATAGAATGAAGTTGGTTAATAGAATGCCCAGACTGTGCTGGGATGGTTTTGAAGGATTTTTTAATGAAAACTGAAATAATAACGAGAGAGCAGGTGTGTACATTTGTTTATAATATGATTTTTTTTTGTCCCCAGGAGATTATGTGGTTCTGACCGTCTTCTTTGACTTAAGCAGAAGAATGGGTTATTTCACCATCCAGACATATATCCCCTGTACCTTGATCGTTGTTCTGTCCTGGGTTTCATTTTGGATCAACAAGGATGCAGTGCCAGCCAGAACTTCTTTGGGTAAGACTCTCTGTTTACATTCTACATGAAAAACAAACTTTGTGTTATGAAACACAATTTTTTCTGTCTTTTTATATACAGTAAATCTAAACATCCTTAAAACAAATTTACTTGAGAATAAAAATTATGTAAAATTAGAAAACAATAATTAAGATAATTTATTTTGATCTTGTCTTACCTATAAATGCCACTTGTCTTATTCAGCAGTTTATCTTTCCTGCAGTGACTCCTGACCTCAGTGTTTTACCATTGAGAATCCTAAATGATCTGCTATGTTGAAACGAAAAGATAAATATCAGAGCTAAACTCCTAATTTTTGTTTAATGAATATGTAATTTGAGTCTTCTAGATGTGCAAAATGATGGGCAGTTACACACCAGTCTACAACAATTTATTGGCAGATGGCACAAGCTCTGCCCACCGAGGTGTTGCATCACTGATGCCTCATAATGGAGCACTCACAGTTCAGATTGCTTGCTCTCCAGTTTCCAACCTCACTCAGCCAAACCCTTTCTGCCACATACCGACCTCCCTACTCAAGCCAGTAACCGTCCGGCCTGCAGCACCCCATTCCTGGAGAGGTAGTCTGCTACTGCCATCTGTGCCCCCATCTCGTGGCCCACCTTGAACCGAAAGGGCTGTAGTGCCAGATACCAACAGGTGATCCACACGGTGATGTCCTGCACATCCAGCGTTTGGTCTAAGTATTCTGTCTAAGGTGGTGAGTGTGGGTGTCCTGAAGATCCTGAATGGAAGCATCACAAATGGGTGTAATCAAAAGAGAGTAGTGAAGTCTTTTGTTTGGACTGAGGCAATAAGTAGATGCACCACCAATCCAGGGTTCATTTTAAATTGCTGCTGTATGAGATTAATACAACTGGCGAGACTACATCTGTAAATTCATCTTGCAGTTTGGCAAGTGAGCTAGGAGAGTGAGAGGTGATCCTATTGTGGACATAATGGAAAGAATTGCACTTTGAATTCGCCTTTGTCCCAAGATCATCCTCTGCACTCACTGCCATCATTAGTGCAATCAGAACCTCCTCCTTACATTGTTTAAGGAGGTTGAGGTGGTACACTTGACATGCCCTGCTCCCAGAATGCCCACCTCACACCAGCTTATTGGTGGAGAGAAGACAGAGTGATGAAGCCAATCAGCAGATATGGGCATTGTTAGGAGGCCATGATGGTCAGAGGCCAATGGGCAAATTTGGACAGGATGCCGAGGTCACTCCTCTACTCTTTTCGAAAGACATCCTTGGATTTTTAATGACCACAGAGAGTCAGGACCTCGGTTTAACGTCTCATCCAAAGGACGGTGCTTGTTGACAGTATAGTGTCCCCATCACTATACTGAGGCATTAGGACCCACACAGACCACAGGGTGAGAACCCCTGCTGGCCTGTCTAACACCTCTTCTTCAACAGCAATATTAGTTTGATGCATAACAGGCCGCAGATTAGATAAGTCAGCCGTACGGCTTAAGAAGGCCTTGGACTTTCTATCACGTGATAAAACAGAAATAGAGAAGTGGGTGACCAGCTTAGCTTCAGTGGGTGACCAGTCTTGGGCTACAGGGTGATATGGCTGCCGGCAAGTTCCTAGTTCCTTTGGAAAAAAGTACTGAACTGAAAAGGACTGAACTGTACTGAACATCTGAACCTCACCTACCATGTCCCTGACTTTTTTCCAAAGAGGCATCTGCACATAGACTCCCCAAATAATTGTAGCTAATCCTTCCCCAAAATTAGCGTTTGCCAGAGGCACTAACCACTACCTTTACTGTATGCCTTTGTCCCCAGACAAGCAGACAGGCACCAGGGGGTAGTCCACCACATCCCTGTGTACACATCAGTCTTTACCTTCATGACTGGACAACGATCCTGGAAATGACCTGGGTCCGCAAATTGCTGGCAGGCCAGCCTGGCTTCCCCACTGCCATAGTGGCAGGAAGGTGGCAATAGTCTGATGAAAAGAGAGGGTAGCTGGAAAAGGAGAGGTGGAAGCCACTGTTCCAGCCAGTGCGCCTCCCTGGATCAGTGGTTTTGGGAACTAGGGAAGCCTCGGAAGTTGTCAGGCCTCGCCCCCAATTGCAACAGTCAGGGAGGCATGCTACTGCACAACCTGGGTAGAGGGAGAGGTTGAGAAGAGTAAGGGAGTGAGGGAAGGGCTGGAGAGGTAAAGCAAGAGAAAAGGAGGAGAAAAGGGGCACGTCGAGCGGTGGCACTGGACCCATTTGGCTACATCTTTTGGAAGCTCAACAATGAGCTGGACCACCAGATCGGCAGGTGTCACAGACCTGCTGGATCATCACAAATGGCTGACTGTTTTTCCCCAGTTCGACGGACGCACTGCTGCTTTTGCTCTAGGGTGTGGACCACACAGGATGACCTGCTTGAGGTTCATAATCCAGGAAGTTCTGCACGGTTAGCTGTTGAGATGCTACTCCGGACACCAGCAGGTGAGGCACACCTGTCACTGAGCATGCGGCCACCCACATGCCTCTGCTGTCTTCTCGAATGAGACCACGAATGCCTCTGGTTTATCCTGTGGACCCTTTTTGGTGAGTGGCACGTGAGTAACAATGGACTCTTTGTCTACAGCCCTGCCTTTGTGGCTCATCATTCTCCACAGCATCTGCCAGTCCTCCTTCCAGGCACAGAGGAGTTCAAGAGGGCCCGATGTTGGGTTTGGTAGAGTCTGGCTAGTGAATTGTCCATCTCAGCGAGGGGCAAGAACTCCATGGCAAATAACTTTTTTTCATCCCGGGTTTCAACACCACTGTAGCAAGTTTGGAGTTGTGGGAAGGAGAAGGTCTGAAGCCCAGGGAGTGGAGGCTTCATCCTCAGATTGTGAGCCAGAAATTCTACAACAGCAGAAATTCCACAAATCAGACTTGGGTCTGTTTGGATCTGTTCACTCAAGATGACTCAGTGTCCCGTTTGGTTTTCTCCTCGAGCACTGCTGAGCTCGGATGCACTAGCACAGGATTCACCCAAGGCCAAATTGTATGCCTTTATATCAATGAGCCTCCACCAAGAAGCCTTTTGAAGAGTTTGGATTTTGTGTCAATTCTGGAGGAACCTCCTTCCTTTCAGGAAAGATCTGCTTTCTCTGGCCCAGTGCAGGTTTTAGCATCCTCTGCTGAAGATATGGAGGCTTTGGGTTTGGCCCTATTCTGACTCTTAAGTGATTATTGCTTTTGGCCTTGTCTTTGTACAGTGAGAAAATAAAAGCCAAACTACAAACATGACCTTGCTATGTAAAAGATACATATTACAGATATAACCTCAGTAATCCATATGCAACAGACATTGAAATCTCCATGTTCTTATTTGAGTATTATTTACTTTGCTCCCCAGGAATCACGACTGTGCTTACCATGACCACTTTGAGTACCATTGCTAGGAAGTCCTTACCCAAAGTGTCGTACGTCACGGCTATGGACCTCTTCGTATCAGTGTGCTTCATCTTTGTTTTCGCCGCTCTGATTGAGTACGGAACGCTCCACTACTTTGTGAGCAACCGCAAGCCCAGCAAAAACAAAGACAAGAAGAAGAGAAATCCTGTGAGTACACTTCCTAAAACAATTCACATTATCGACTACCAATACAACAATATTATAAAGTGTATTAACTACTAGTATTTCTATTTACTACTAGTATTTCTATTTCTAAGATTAGCCTATTTGAGAACTGCAAGTGTTAGGTTTTTTTTAGGGTCGGGATTAGCTGCTAACTTTAAAGTCTATCCGAGGTTGAGTTCTTCAAAGTACTCCAAATAATAACACTCTTCCACAAGTTAGCAAGCTACCTAGGCAGCATTTCTAGACTTAGTGTGCTCCCAATGTGAAGATGATACCTCGCTTTGGTGAAATTCTAAGGCTTTGAGTTCATTGTAAAGAAAAAAGGTAGTGTATATATTCACAAACAAACCAGTCAAGAAAAAACTTTTATGTAAAAGTCTGTTTAAATGCGTAAAATTAGTTTTGTAGTGAAATAAACCTGCCAAAAAGCAGCCAGAAAGTGTCTAGCAGGCATGTGAATTATGTGTGCTTGCTACAGTTTTGTGTTGTTAGCTTAGCAATTAAGGCTTTATTGTTAACGCTGTAGGAATCCACTTTGAGTGCTTCATGTGAGGAAAGCTATTTGTAGATGCAGCTAAGTGTGATCGTTGGTTGTCTATGAAGAGCGTTTCTAATCAGTCACTAATGAGTTTCCATTACGCCTGAGTAGGCGGTACACAGTGAGACAGCTCACTAGGTTTTGGAACATAAGTGTGCATGCTAGAACCTTTTTCTCTACATGTGGTCAGATTTGCCATCGTGGACCACCTCTGTCAAACAGTGTCACTGAGCAGTGATGTCCTTAATCTGAATCATTTCAGCAGCAGGTTTGAAGTGCAGCCTTAGATTTTCATCTCAGCAGGGCGCTCATATCCGTAGCGTGAGGAGGGCTGATCTCAGCAAATGGGTCGTTCCACTTTCAGATGATTAAAGGGGTGCCAGAAATGTCTTATTTGATTTGGGATTTTAGAATGTCAGGCAGATTAATGAGTAATGATTTTCAAACCACATTCGACAGTTCGGTTCCCAGTCAAAGGCACACTCTGAAGTAAAACTCTTCAAATAAAAAGACAACAAGCTTTTGCTGAAGAAGCGTTTTGATCTCTGCAGAGTTGAAGAGTACCAGTCTCCTCCTTAGATGATTATGTTTGTCTTTTGTTCTTTGGTAATGATTGTTTGCCCTTATATGATTAGAGACCTGATTTTTCCAAGCTCTAAATTCTGACAGGCCTAATAGTTTATACTATATGTGATTGCATTTTTGATCGTATTTGAAATTAATGCACTAGAGCAGTCATTTCTAGTCTGTATTTTACGACATGCAGTGAACCTGTTCATATATGCTTGTTCCTGTGGCTCAGTGGTAGAGCATTGCGTTAGCAGCGCAAAAGGTTGTGGATTTGATTTCCAGGGAACACACGTACTGGTAAAAAAATGTATAGCCTGAATGTGAGGTTATATATATGTGTGAGGTTGCAGTAATTTGTTCTCTTTCCACTTTCAGACTTTTTTGCATTATACTGTATGTCCATTTTATGTTGTTGTTGTTATTGTTGGTTTGTTTGTATTTGTTTGTTTCAATTTCTAATAAAAAATAAAATCATAAATGTAGATAAATAATGTAAGACAGGAGAGGAACTTTCTCTTTGAAGGTTGTCGTATTTCATTCCGTTAAAGCTGCGGATTCCACTGTATTTGTTTCTTTCCACATGGCAGGCTATTTGTGCTCGTGTGCTTTCCAAACGCTTCTGCGAAACCCTTTGAGAAGCGAGTCACATGACCCGTTTCCGCACAGCCTCAGGTGGCTCTGTCCTAAATGCTACATAATGTGCACCCGGAGAAGCCAGCGTGAACAGCTGGTCATGCTTCGTTTTTCAAAGGGATTTGAAGCACTCTTCTAGTGCTGGGCAAAATGATTGTGAATCCAGAAATGTGGATATGTCCCAATGATCCTATTTCTCTTGCTTTTGATGGGAAATATTTACATGGGGGTCTCATAACATTTGTGTATTGCAAGTGCATTTTTAGACTTATATTTTAGTGCAGTTGCTGGCCAAGATATAAGACTGAAAGTATATTAATACCTAATTATTTAGCTGTTCTGTGTTGACACTTAGTACCATGTTAGACAGAGCCATGTGGTCTCACATGGGAAACGTTGCTGTAGTGACTTCGTCATTCTGATGACGTCATTCTAGGGTCCCACTTTATATTAAGTGGCCTTAACTACTATGTACTTACACTTAAATTAATAATTTGGTACAATGCACTTATTGTGTACATGTTTGTACTTACAGTATATTTTAAAAATACCTGCATGTAATTACATCTTTAATTAATTTCTGTAATTACATTTATAATTACACTGTTGACCCATCCCTTACACCTTAACCCACCCTTAATCTACCCAACCTTTCCCTAAACTTACCCGTATCGCACCTCAATAGCAGCAAAAGTGTTTTGCAGTACAATATGAACAAAATAAGTACATCGCACTTATTTTCTGATGTATGTACACAGGAGTTAACGCCACTTAATAAAAAGTGGGAGCCATTCTAATAAGTAAATGATGCAGTTATGCTTTATTTTTGCATGGTGCATATACTAGCGTAATATAATCAATGCACAACAATATAAAACACAGGCATAATGAAAAGCCAAAATACATAATTTGCTATTTAAGTATTAAAGAAAGAAAGAAAAATCAAGAAGCCTGTTTTACAGCCAACTATTGCAGTTGCACATCTTTTAATGCATTCTACTTGCAATATTAGGTGCAAAGCATCCACTGGCAGACGTTTGAACGCAGCCCCTGACAGCTGGTCGAGATGTCCTGTGTATCTGATGGGACTCTTGCTGATTTTGTGTTCTGTTCTAAAAGCAGGCCCCCACTGTGGACATTCGCCCGCGCTCAGCCACCGCCATCCAGATGAACAACGCCACCCACATGCAGGAGCGGGACGAGGAATACGGCTACGAGTGTCTGGATGGGAAGGACTGCTCCAGCTTCTTCTGCTGCTTTGAGGACTGTCGCTCAGGAGCGTGGCGGCACGGCCGTTTGCACATCCGTGTCACTAAGATAGACTCTTACGCCCGCATTTTCTTTCCCACTGCATTTGGTCTATTCAACGTAGTTTACTGGTTTTCCTATCTCTATCTTTAAAATAGTTAGAAAAAAATAGGCTGGCCTTATTTTATGTTACAGATTCCAGCAAGACCCTTTCTTGGAAACGTGAGCCCACTGAAAACATTTAAGTTGCATTGTGTTGTTGTTGTTTTTCCAGTCTACGTAATGTTTTGGGGGGGGGGTTTCAAAAGTGCATTTTAGGATTTTTTTTTTTTTTTTGTGCATTTATGTAATGTGGAATTGTTGGTTTGTCTATGTTTACATCTTTTTTTCTAGAAAGTATACATTGTGCATAAAGCAAAAGTTGTAGCAAAAAAGAAAACAAAAAAGCGCAGAAGGGGCAGTCAGTGAGAACCTGCATCTGTAAGATTATTCCTGAATCGTGTAGAGCGAAGAGCAGAAGATCTGAGTATTGCATGCCTACATGTCCTTTTAGCCCCTAAAGAGCAAGCACTAAAGAAATTTCGGGAACCATCTTCAAATGCATGGCTGTCAGGCCTATGTGAGGTAAAAGCAATCAATCAAATATTAATAAATGTGTCAGAGAATTTATTTGTATACGCTTATTATTTGTGCATTCTAAAGCGCAAAGTGTGTGTGTGTGTGTGTGAGAGCCTCCCACACTTAATCTTTTTCTTAATCAGAACTGTAGTCTTGTTTTCAGGTAAAAAAGATGCACTTATTTGAGAAGAAAATGTAAGATATGAAGACTTTTGAAGGATTTTTAACCATTTTTTCCTCATATAAACCTGAATGGAGATTGTTATATTTATGCTTAAAACAAGGGGAAAATTTAGTTTTAAATTGAGTTTTATTACATTATGCAATTTTGTTTCTCAAGTAAATTTATGTTTTGATTTGTTTTGTTTTTTTATGTGAAATCTGATCTAATGTGCTATCTTTTGTCTTTTATCTTGTTTGTTTAGTACAATAATTGTAACTGAGCTTTATTGCTAATTGTATCTTCCAAACCTGATCTAAATTGTTCTAAGGTTTTGTTGTATAATTTCACTTAAGCGGCAGTTGATTGTTTGGGCTTGCACAGAAAAATATTTGTATGGATAAAGCATTATTAAAGTCTGAATTTGTTCGTCCCTGCAGGGTGATCTCCCATCATCGACGATATTTTGATTTCTTTTCTTACTTGACTGCACAAATATAATCAGATGTATAAATGGATAAATCTCACAAACTGAAAGTGTTTTAGCAACAAATACAACATTTGTGAAGAGCACATGTAAATAATAAATATTGTTACATACTTTATTGCCCATGTGGGAAACACTAAATCATTTACCATGCTTCTAATGCAGTAACGACAAGCTGCAAAGCAAAAAGATTGAAAGTAAGCTCTCAGCTGCTCAGCGTATCTATATATTTATTGAGTAGTGTACTAAAAGGACACTGATGATTTCATGTAAGGGTTTGCATTATATTATTATATGTACTGAAATCCTTTTCTTAAAGGAGAAGCACAGAGCTGTGGAATTTTTCAATAAACTATTGCATTTATAAGGTGTATGGATATATTTCTTAAATGAGAAGAAGTATCAAAGACTACTGTGATTGTATTCCACTACAATATTCATAACGAAATACCGTTGGGCAAATGATCAAAACAGTATTTGGTGTGAGGTATTTCAGAGCAAATACTGGTGTTTTATTCACATACTGGGTCAAGGTTAAGAGCCAAAACAACTTTTTCTATGTAAATACGGCATATTGTTGAATGCACATTATTTTCTGACACAGTTAACATGCAACAGGCAGTACAATTTTAGTCATTTTTATTTATTTATTGTTTTATGCCACATACATTTAAATAGCATAATCTTGTACTATTTTGGCATGAAAATACAATAAGTAGGAAAATATTCTATCCTTGTATACCAACAAGTGCCTCACAAAAACAGATTCTTAAAGGGACAGTTCACCCAAAAATGAGAATACTGTCATCGTTTACTTACCCTCATGTTGTTCCAAACCTGGATGAGTTCTTTCTTCTGCTGAACACAGAAGATATTTTGAAGAATGTTGCTAACATGTTGCATGATTCTGGATAAATCGCGAATCACGATTTTTCTAATAGATATCACGATTCTGAACTAAACAAAATAACATGTAATTTACTAGAGGCTGTGACAAAATATTAATTGCTGCAATCTATTTAAAGGGGTGGTTGATTGAGATTTCACTTTTTTAACTCTAGTTAGTGTGTAATGTTGCTGTTTGAGCATAAACAATATCTGCAAAGTTACGACGCGTTCAACACAAACGGAGATATCGTCTTTTAAAATCATGGCAGTTTAATGCCTACAAAAACGGATGGTAGGGACTACAACAAGCTTATTCCTGGGTTGGTGACGTCACAAACCCAGAAATTTACATAAACTCCGCCCCCGGGAACATGCAGCAAAGGTGGCGGGGCCATGCTGCGCAGCTTTAGAGAAGAGGAAGAGTTGTTGCCATGCCATCAAAACTAGGGGTGCACGAGAAAATCTATTCATATATGAATCACAATTCTGTCTTCTAACGATTCTAATGGATTCACGAGTTTCAAAATCAATGTTCTAAAACAGCGGTTCGCCATCGTTTACAATACAACTACATTAATTACAATACAAGTTCGAGGGGGAGATGGCAAACTCAGAAAAGGAAGTTTTAATTTGTTCAGATTCAATGGCATCACTTTCAAGCTTGAAAACCTTTCAGTCATGTAGAAAAGATATACTGATAGAAATACTGGATTTGTTATATAGAATAAGTCAAATGGGAAGTGTAGTGCAGTTTTTATGGGCATGTAGGGATACAAGGGAATGAAACGGCAGACAAAATGGCTAAAGAAGCACTGAAAATGGATAATATTAGCGTAGCAGTCACTTTAAGCAGGGCAGAAACAAAGTCTGTGATTAAGTTTGTAGGAGTATATGGCGGAAATACTGGAACTCATGTAAAAAAGGAAGACATTTTTATAGAATGCAAAGTAACATAAAACAAGGTCAAATGAATCATCATATAAATAGGAAGGACTGTATTATATTTACAAGATAAAGAATGGGTCATACTTATCTTAATGCAACACTTCATATAATCGGCAAATAATCAGCATATAAATTATGTGGAACATAATGGGGGTTTTTTTAGACTGCACCCCATAAACACAATCAAGCCTAAAAAAAACAGTTAACCATCTCTTTAAAACTGTTTAATTAATTTGAACGAATTATTTTTCAAACGTTGGTTTGAATGAATGATTCAATGACTCACTCGTAAATATTTCACTTGTTTCATTACTGGATGAATCAGCGGTTTTAAACGAATCTCTTGAATGAATGATTCAATGACAAATACATTTTTAACAGTCTCTTATCAACACAAATATTATTTCAAGCACCAAGTACTTTCACAAGGTGATTTGCTCCATTTTGATCGCTACCATAGACATCGGTGTATATATCCATAAATGTTTATCCCAGTACTTCTGTGATAATATGAATGATTGTAAGACAGAAATAATACTGTGGATGAAAAAACTAAACATGATCTGCGCAAACACAGAACTGAATGTTCCGGTAGGACTCTCTCTAAGGTTTAATAGACACAGATGAATTGTTGTCATTTAGAAATAAGATTGTGTGGGTGTTTGAATCAATATCACAATCTTTTAACGATTAACCGGGCAGCTCTACTGCATGGCCTGAAAACCTTCACACTTTGAGCTTTTAAAATGACAAATCTTAAAACACTCAAAGTCAAACTTTGAAAGTAAAATCACTTGCTTCAGATGGCTGGCCTTCAAAAATCACACACTACAGCACCAGCCTTAACGTTTTAATAGGAATCTCAGGAACATACAATACAATGTGAGGTGGCCACAGCTTCTAAAGACATTCAGTTGCATTTGTACTGTACATGAAACGACTGGATTGGCCCCTTATGTTCCAGCATATCCTGAGGCCAAAAGTAGATATCGTGTCCTTTGAGATGATTGAGTGTCCAGCAGCCATGACTTCTGAGCACAACTGAAGAAATTGCCCAGAAACACACTCCCAAAGAACCAACACATCATGCCAAACTCTATAACCGGAGGGTCAGAGGTTCACCTTTCACAACCTTGAGCGGGAAATAGAGTTTTAATGGCCAACCAGGAGGAGAGAGGCATGAAGAAAGTCGCAGTAAATTTATATTTTTGGGTGCACTATCCTTTTAAGAGTATTTTCCAACTGGCAGAGAGAAGGACACACTCACTCACTCACACTCACCCACTCACTCACTCACTCACTCACACACACACACACACACACACTCTGTGCATAAGGACCTGCTGTGCTGTTTCCATTGCATTTCACGTCGTGTATGTCCCAGGTCCTATTAAAGAAAACTGAGCAACTATCCACTTGATCTCAAGTGAATCTTTACACACATTAAGTGTAAGTCAGTGGGTTCCAGTATTGTTAAAATGTCGTCTTTTGTGTTCCACAGAGGAAAGAAATGCATTTGGACAGCATCTCTTTAATTGAATTAATTGTATACATGATGTGCAAACATCTTCACTCCCACTTACAAGCAATTTTCCATTAATACTTTTATTATGAAAAACTGTGGTGGTTTATACTGCAATTATTCACTTGTATGCTTGATGCAGAACCTAGAAATTTAAATGCAATAGGCCTGTTAATTTTAAATCACCTACTTCAAATGCAAAATGCAGTCCTAAGGAGTATTCTGATGACCATGACCAATATCAATATAAGTCATGCTAACACAGCAGTATCTGATTTGATAACATCCACAAGAGATTCCCGCTCTAACCCTCATCTAAATGTAGTATTCCCCATCCATGTTAAACAGCTTCCCTCACCCATCTTTACAGCCTGTTCTATAATTCATCCAAAATGCCGTGACCTTGACTGATTATCACTCGGCTTGCAACATTTTTTGGCCCACTGGCTGTTGACTTGAGAAGAATTTTAAAACCCCTCTTCCGTATTCTGCAGATTTGACTGCCAGGGTTTGTCAGCAGTGGCTAATGGAGCAGGATCAGACGACAAACGCCTTCCTCGCACTGCTCTCTACAGGAACAAGGCAAATCTGACAACACATAGAAACAATGACCTTCGCTTGCATCAAAAAAAGTAACAGTAATCATTTGATTCAATGTTGGC